TTGGCTCGTCTCCTCTCCACAACCCCTCAGTAAGGGGGTGTTCGTATCTGGATGTCTTTCCATATATTGAGACTTGCTTGGTAGTCTAACATATGATCTATTCTGGAGTATGTTACATGTGTGTCGGGGGAAATGTATACTGTGCTGTTGTCGGGTAAAGTGTTCTGTATATGTCTTAGAAAACAAGTTGATTGTGTTGTTCAGTTCTTCTGTACCTTCGTTGATTACCTTTCCAGTCCATCTGTTCTTCAAGAGTAGTGTATTGAAATCTCCTACTATTAGTGTAGTCTTGTGCATTTGTCTTTTTAATTATGTAAGAGCTTGATTCATGTATTTGGAGGGTCTTTCATTTGGTGCACACATACTAATTATGGTTGTCATTATATAATGGCCTTTGTCTCTCAGGAGAGTTTTTACTTTGACATAGCTAGAAATTATCATTATTTCTCCTGATTTTTTTGAATTAGTGTTAGCTTGATATATTTTTGTCCAGATTATCATTTTAATCTGTTTTTGCCTTTGTGCCAAGGTTTGCTTCTTATAAACACTATGTTAACGGAGTGTATTTTCTTACCCATTCTGCTTGTCTCTGTCTCTTAACTGGTCTCTTACATTCAATGTTGTTATTGGGGGGGGTATGAATTTATTGCTTTTATTTTTCTGAGTGTATTTTTATGGTGTCATTGGTTTCTTTGTTCAATGTAAGTTTCTGTGTGTTGAATTAATTTTGTTTGTGAATTTTCATCTCATTTTAAAATTTACCTTTATTTTAGAGGCCAGTAGTATTTATGGGTTTCCTCTTTTTTAATTTGTTTCTGTTCAGCCACTTTCTTTGAGATTAATTTGTTTGATATTAGTTTCTTTCCAAGTGTTTTGTTTCTTTCCCAAACCATTTTCTTGGGAGCTGATACAGATTTCATGCCATTCCATAGTTCAATCACCTCACAATCATTGTATAATTGCTATCTCAGTCAGTTTTAAAACATTCTCATCCTTCTTAAGTTCCTTGACAGCAGCATCCTATTTTCTTTCACGTTTATGGCAATTTGTTCTCTCGTGAACTACTCAGTTCTTCTCGGCTTGACGATTTAATGATTACTCTATTCCCTCTATTACCTTACCATTTTCTTGTATTGTGAAATGTTATCTCTTTCTCGATTTTCTATCTTTTAGGTTTGTTTCATTTTGCATATGACTCGAATGGCTTGTAGGATTCTCTTAGTTTGCAATCTGCTGTTGTTGATTCTTTGTCCAAAGCACACCCTTTAATAGTTTTTGTAAACTTCACAGTGACTCTCACTGCTACCACGTCAATCCTGACTCCCAGTGACCCTTTGGGACCAGGTAGAACTGCCCTCGTGGGTTTCTGAGACGAATTCTTTATGGGCATAGAAAGTCTCATCTGTCTTCCTTGGAGCGGCTGGTGGTTTCAAACTGCTAACCTCATATTTAGCAACCCAACATGTAACCCACTATGCCACTGTCTCTATAGATTTACCTATCCTGGATTTCATATACAGAAACACATAAAAACCAAACCAAACCAATACGTAACAATAACAATATATACATCAGAAATAAACATAAATCCAAAAGAAAACAGAAAATCACGCACATGGGAATAAATTTTAAATGAGTCAAAAGGGAGAATGAATGAGAAAGTGCTCAATTTTAACCTAACTCCATTGGCAAGGTCAGCAGTGCAAAACCCACAGCTACTCCCTGGGAGAAAGATGTGGCTTCCTACTCCCATAAACAGTTCCAGGCTCCGAAACTCACAGTCGTAGTTCTACCCTGCCTATAATCATCACGATGAGTCAGGAATGCCTCCATGACAGTGTTGCGGGACTGGTTGGTTGGAGGGTGGAGGTAACGGGACACCTGCATCAATCCACTTTCCAGTGCATTCTGTCTGATAGCAAGGCTATGCACAGCCCTTGACAATGGTCACAGGGACTTCACTAGTTTAACCCACCCGGGAACCCAGCAAATGGAATTTGGGCTTTCACTGTCACCCATGGCCTTCTACTAACCAGGTGCTCAGGATTTAAGTTCTAATACAGTTTCCTGCTCTCGTCTTGGATTTTATTCTTTATAATCCTTGGATCAAATAAAAAAGCAAAGAGACTATAGAAATAGCACATATAGTAGCCTTTAGTTGTCATTTATTGGGCACTCTCAAAGAGATATTTGAACCAAAGTCCAATGACTTCCAAGTCCAACACTTTGGGGTAGCAGCCGTTCCAAGTCCAACACTTTGGGGTAGCAGCCGTTGGTTTATCCTCATATTAAGGCATTTAAACTTTAAGTCCGAGAGAATATTTAAGTTTTTTTAATCTGCTAGAGGTGTGTTTGCTTAGTGGAGTTTCCAAATTGGAGTCTTCTGGTAAGGTCTATGAAGGAGGTTGTGTACCTCGAAAATACAGAGTGTAAAGTCCCAATAGTCTATAGCATGTGTCCATGGCCGCTAAGGCTGGATAGAAGCCAGTTAGGAACATAATACGGTATTTATTCTCCCATTAGGGGTCTCTATAAGTAATGTTAAGCCTTTTTACTCAATGGCAGGTTGCTCCTCCTGGTTTACCCACTAATGAAAGTTAAATCAATCATATCTGTCATTTCAAGGATATTACATAAGTGGAATCATCTTGTATATAACTTTCTGAGATTGGATTGGATTTGTTTACACTTAGCCCATTTCCGAGGAGATTTAACCAACTAAATCTATATCAATATATATCAATAGTTTACCCTTTTTTATTATTGAGTAGTGTCCCAGGAATATACACATCAAAGTGCAACTCATTGAAGAGCTTCAGGATTGTTTCCAAATGTGGGCTACAATAAATTTGGGTTATTACAAATAAATCTGCTATAAATATTTATGTAGTCATACACGTTTTGGTATGAGCATACGTTTTCATTTTCCTGGGGTATTTGCACAAGAGTGCAATCACTTGGTAGTACAGTAGTAGAATGTGTAGTACAGTAGTAGAATGTTTACTGTTTTAAGAAGCTGCCATGGATTGGGATAACAGTTGTATGAGCCCCTAATAAAATGTTATATATAAAAATAATAATACAATAAATAGAATAAAACTGTTCCTGAATCAAAAAAGAAGCTGCCAAACATTTTCCAGAATGGCAATGCTATTTTACAGTCTCACCAGCAAAGTATGACTGATCTAGTTTCTCTGCATCATCGCCAGTATATGTTATCACCGTTTTAAAAATTAAAGCTATTTTATTAGCAATTTAATATTTAATATTAATTTAATATACTCATTAGGAAATGTAAGCAGTTAACACACCCAACTTCTCTACTACTGGAAAATCAGCCATCACAACTCTCTGGAATGTAGTTCTATTTTGAATATGTGAGGTGGCCACGAATCTGACTTAACTCTCAGAAATTAGTTTAATAGGTGTACAATGATCTGTAATTGTAATTCTAACTTCTAGTTCTCCAGTGCTGTTTAACAAATTTTCATGTGCTCATTTGCTATTGCCAGAAATGTTTGCTCATGTCTTTTGGACTATTTATCAATTGATTTTACTGTTGAGTTTGGAAAATTCTTAATATATTCTAAAAACTAGTCCCGTGTTGGATATGTGTTTTGCAAATGTTTCATCTCTGTCTGTAGCTTGCCTTTTCATCCCCTTGTTAGAGTCCTTTTCTGGATCATTTTTAACCTTCAGTTTATGAACTCTGCTTACCCTAGATTCCTAAGATCTTCTTTTATGATTTTTCTAAAACTGCAATCGTTTGACATTTTACATTTAAATTCATGATCCAAATAAAACCAGTTTCCATTATATTATCTCCAGCTTCATGTGTGTCGGAGTGGACATGCACACCCTAGGGTTTTTAATGCTTGAGTTTTCAAAAGTAGGTTACCTGACTTTTCTTTTGAAGCACCTCTGGGTGAAGGGTGAACTCGAATCTGCGGCCTCTCTGTTAGCAGCCGAGTGCATTCACTCTTTGCACTGCCCAGCAGTGCCACCCTGACAGTTGCATCATACTTTTTACTCCAAACTGCAAATCATTGTTTTAATTTATGTATTCAGACTCCTTATATTTAATGTAAGTGTTGTGTGTTACGAATAAATCTGCCATCTTATATTTTGTTGTCTGCTTGTAGTCTCTGCTTTGCCTTCCTGTTACCCGAACACTTGTTTAACATTCCATTTTTATTTACCTCTATCGCAATTTTAGTATATCTCTTTGTAAAGATTTTTAGTGGTTGCTGTAGGTATTGATTATATAAACATATCTGCAAAATAGTCATGTGTATTTATTTAGCACGGTGCATGCATCATCCTTTTACTAGTGGAAACTTTCTCTTTCTCTATACCTCTTTAACGTCCCCCATTATATTTGTCTGAAATAAATTCTATTCATCCATTTAAAACTGTACCAGAGAGTATTAAAATCTTACTTCAAACATCATTTAGAAGCATCAAAAGAGCATAAGGAAATCTTATTTACCCGTATTTCTGCTTACCATGTCATGTCTCCTTGCCAATCCTCTGAGAGCTCTTCTATTGGCACTTCCTTTACGCGGAGAGAAACTCCTTCAGTGGTTCTTTCAGGGTCTGACGACAAATTATCTGAGTTTTTCCTCCTATGAGGATGTTTTGAATTCCTTATCATCCCCAAAGAGGTTTTCCCTGGAAGTAGTCTCGACATGGACAGCTCTTTTCTTTCAGGACTGCAAAATGCTTGGGCTACTTCCTCTGGCCTCTATAGTTTCTGAGGACAAATCCGCGTCTGGTAGATGTAGGCTGCGCCAAGTGCCGCAGGGAGATGCTCACATTCACATGGACAGTAAGTCAAACGTTTCATAAGCATGAGGCTTCAGCCTCTACCAAATCAAGACACGTTTATTCAGTATTCTTTAAACTAGGAACTTCGTTATAGAATCATTTGCTGCCTATTAACATTTTTTATTCTTTTGCATCTCAAGGTGCAAATGAAACCTAACATGTCTTTCTATTTTGTTATAACCTGGGAAAAGGTGAACAGGAGAGAGAAAGGTAGTGCACGAGATAACTATTTTTTTACGTGTCTATTTCTTTTTCCACCAGCATGGACTGAAAACGTATGTCTTTGCCTCTGTCTCCACCCGAAGCGGAAATGGAACAAAACGTCAGCTTCAGCAGCAGCAGCAGCAGCAGCAGCAGCAGCAGCAACAACAGTAACAGTGACTGCGTGATTGAGAATTTTAAGAGAACATTTTATCCCATAGTGTACCTGATCATCTTTGTCTGGGGAGCCTTGGGAAATGGCTTTTCAGTTTTTATTTTCCTGCAGCCTTCCAAGAAGTCTAAGTCTGTGAATATTTTCATGTTGAACCTAGCCATTTCTGACCTCCTGTTCATAATAACACTGCCTTTCAGGGTCGACTATTACCTTAGAGGCTCCAATTGGATATTTGGGGACCTAGCCTGCAGGATCATGTCTTACTCCATGTATGTCAACATGTACAGTAGCATTTACTTCCTGACTGTGCTGAGCGTTGTGCGTTTCCTGGCAACGGTTCACCCCTTCCGGCTCCTCCACGCGACAAGCATCAAGAGTGCCTGGATACTATGTGGGATCATATGGATTTCTATCATGGCTTCTTCTACAGTGCTTCTGAACACTGGCTCCGAACAGAGGGACAATGTGACTTCGTGCTTAGAACTGACTCACAATAAAATCGATAAATTGCTGATTATGAACCACGTCGCCCTGGTGGTGGGCTTTTTCCTGCCATTTTGCACTCTCAGTATCTGTTACCTGCTGATCGTTCGAACCCTGTTGAAGGTGGAGGTCCCCGACTCAGGGCTTCGGGCGTCACACAGGAAGGCACTGATTACTATCATCATTGCCTTGATCATCTTCCTCCTGTGTTTCATGCCCTATCACGTCCTAAGGACCTTCCATCTGGTCACATGGAATACGTGCAGAATCTCCCTGCATAAAGCTGTGGTCATCACGCTGACCTTGGCTGCAGCCAATACCTGCTTCAACCCTTTACTTTATTACTTCGCTGGAGAGAATTTTAAAGACAGACTAAGGACCACCTTCAGAAAAGGTCATTCACATATGACAAAGGCCAAGTGCACATTTCCTCTTTGTGTGTGGTGGAAAAAGGAAACAACCAGCGTGTAAGATGTCGTGAAGTGAGGCCTGTGTTTGGGTCTGGAATCCTCGTGGTGCTGGTGCAATGGTTGTGATCCTCGTCGTGCTGGTGCAATGGTTGTGATCCTCGTC